CCACCACTGCCAAACGACACACACCCCACCAAAAACACACTCCAGAGACTCTCTTGTATGTTTTGTTATATAATATGTACATATAATGATAGTAATGATGGTAAGGCGAGGTCCTAACACCTTATCACAGAAATTAACAAAGATGAAAAGAGGAGAGAGAGAGAGAGAGAGATGAAGACAAAGTAGGTAAAATATTGACCATAAAAATTAGAATTCATGACATACTATCCACCTTAAACTTGAGGTTTCAAATCAATGATAAACTTCCACTTTGAAGTTAGTTCAGGCTACGCCTACCTAATGTAACCACACTGAAGTAATAATATAACAGAACATCACAATGAATGTAAGACAACCTCTTACCTTCCCAACCATAGATTTGTAAACAGTATATACTAAAAAAAAAAAAAAAAGAAAAAAAAAAAAAAAAAAAAAAAAAAAAAAAAAACCTAGTAATGTTACAATGACAATGAGATTCAATCACTCTGGTCGACTTCCTTGTCCATCCCTGGGTACTCACTACGTTACTATGTTATACATGTATGCAAGCATAAGTGGGCAGCTGTAGATAGATGACTCCAGTACACTAAACAATTCTCACTTACACACCGTTACTATGTAGACAATGTACCAATACACCAGTGACACTTTTATCACTAGGAATACATCTATTTTGTTGATTGTAAATTAGGTCGAGTGGTACAAACCGCTGGTCGTAATAAATCACACTCAACTAGCACAAGGACACACCTAGGAAGGCCCAGCCTTCTGGAGTACTTCCACGGATTTAATGTGTTATATTATGTGGTCAGTGCGTTCTCATCCATTAAATTGGTGTATCCAAAGTTAATCACTACAATCCAGTTGACAAATAGTCTAAAAGACAATTTACACAATGAATCACTAGAAGTATAATGATTGCCAAATTGTATTACAATTACCATTTTTAAATATGCGCTAGACCCACTAGATGAGATGTGCAATGAACATAGATGTTAACAGGCAGACTCTTGCTATAACACAGTTGAAAGGTAGACCGAATTTACTCAAGTAAGAAAGTATTCCTGAAACTGAACATATGGCAGGAGTAAGCTTGTTCACAGTAAAAAAAACAAAGCATAAGTTAGCACACACACACCACAGATGAACACTGCAATTTGCAAATATTACAGGTAATATTATGCATAAAGATTCAGTCAGAACGAGAAAAGTATTAAAAACCACAAAAACAATGACACTAGACAAGCAATTTAATTATGTAACCATATTTTAGAAGTTCAGTTACACTGAGCAAGGAGCAAGAATTACACTGATTTATAATCAAATGTAAGGACTTCACTACACTGAAGCACACACTGGCAGCCTTTTTAAAGTCTTAATACAGCTAACAAATGACAATTTACTGTTGGGGAAAGCAGCACTTAAACACTTCTATGCAACACATATGACAGATGAATGTTCATTCACTGTGTAACAAGCCAATCACCACAAGCTTACTATGTTTTAAGTGAACCTCCGGCAAGTCCCACTCAAAATGTAGCACTGCAATGCTCGTCAAATTGTTCTCTCAAGCCACTACAGGAAACACTGGTATGCCCATCACTGCAGAACGTATACATACATGCCTGTCCCCTAGGACAGCTATAACTGCAGGCTGCCTTAGCTTGTTTCTGGCTAGCTTTTAGTGCTGGGGCCCTCAAGCTTGCTTGACCTGTGCTCGCCACGCCCACGCCAACCCACCCAACACCTGCTTGCAGCAGGCAGGCAGCACACCAGGAGCCCACCGCAAGATGATGGAGTTTGCGGCACAGAGGAACACGGGAAACTCAAGGCACCCATGATGGTCTGGCAAAAAACCGCCTCTAGACCACAAGCAAATAGAGTCGAACGGCTGAGTTCCAAAAATCGAGGAAGGAGAAGGGACAAGTGGATAGGATATATCACCGTCGCTAAGCAGGGCAATATGGGTGTTGTGGCCGCAGGTGCAGTGCAATTTTGCAAGGTCATTCACTGGGCCCCACAGTCGTCTTCGATAGTGTTACCAACCCCTTTACTACTTGATTAATTACTACAAACCCGCAGCACTTACCACCACAAGCATACGTGTCTTGGATGACAGAACAAATTTCACTACATAAGAACTAGTTGCTCACAACACCGAAGTTACGGCCGGAAAACACTGTAGAACGTTCAACCAAGGCATAGTGGGATTCAGAACAGATGTAGCCTTGGCCTTCACTGGCTGGCTTGGAGCGCTGTTTGGCCTTGGATCAGCCATACTCCACCTTTCCCATAAGTAGATAATGGCGATGAGTTAAGGATACCGGTGAAAAGGAAAAGTCGAGGAAGGGACATTCACCTCACTAAGACACACGCAGTATGGGTGTAAGTGGCATTCGGGGTCTTATAGTGCCATTTTCAAGTCACCCAGCAGGCTCAGACATTCCTCACTCATTTTAAGCCTATACGTGGTACTGATGGTAGTACAATGTCCTAAGTCAGCGTAATCCACTCATGCAAATATTACAAACAAATCTGCAGCTCTTGCCGGAACTCACAATATTCGAGACCACGGGGCAGCAAAATACACCTCTTACACTGCCCGTTGTTGGATAGAAGGCGAACGGTGAGTTTAAAGGGAGAGAGGTTGGGGAACCGGAGACCACAGGGTAACTGAGCACGCACATGGTGGCCCGGTGGCCTGGTGGCTATAGCCCCCCGCTTCACACAATGGAGTGCCCGGGTTTCGATTCCCTGCGGGTGGAAAACGAATACGACACGTTTCCCTTACAACACCTGTGTCCCATGTTCACCTAGCATCAAATAGGTAAGCCTGGGTATTAGTCACAGGTGTGGGTACGCATCCTGGGGGACAAGATTAAGGACCGCAATTGGAAATAATTAGACAGTCCTCGATGACGCACTGGACTATTCTTTTGGGTTATCCTGAGGTGCTAACCCTCCGGGGTTAAAAATCCGAACGAAATACGTATCATTTTCTTACATCTTATCTTATCTTCACATAGTCAATATGGGCGAAAGTCTCAGGCAGGTTGATGCTGCGCCTCGCTCAAGGAAGAGTCACAGGCAGAGGGCAGACATCTCAAGAGTTACAAACACTGCACAACTCCTACAGATACAATTGGTTTACTCATCCCAAACTTCAGAACTCTAAGCACACGTGTCTTGGAAGTGAAAGACGAATTTTCAGTGTGTGCACGACCTGGGGTTACCAACTCACGTAGGACTGCACACATTCGTCAAATTCCTCAGGTTGGTAAAGCGATGATTTGGAGCATTTTTGAAGGCACAGTAGCATGACTAGCAAAATATCGCCACTACACTGTATGTTGATAGAGGCGAAAAGGCAGAGTCAAATGAAAAAGGCAGAGGGAAGCAGTGCCTTTAGGGCCTTTGCAAAAAGGAAAACTTAATTCCAGTGTTTGACCATGTTAGTCACAGCTCGCACATAAGAGTTTCTCCACAACACAGAAGCTGTCTTCCCAACAGTAGACATTTCTAAATGATGACTTATCAGTCGAGAAATGGGTAGGCCTATGATGAATTAGGAGGGTCCAGATCCCCAGCAACACGTCTACTCCCCTCCACCACTCAGCCGAACTGTCTAGGGTGGTCATAGTTGCACGTCCCGTCTAGTTTTTCCAGATTTCCATGTCTTGCAGATCCAAGTGCAGAGTATGTTCACGGCTTGGTTTTCCCCCATTTGCCTTGGGTTTCTTGACTATATTCCCTGTCGGTTGGCATGTTTCCCTGTCTTATTCCTATCCTCCCTACACCAACAAGGGAGCTCCCCACCTTAAGTTGTTTTTTGGGGGTAATATATCCTCACTATTGCTAGTGGAGTCCTCTTGTTTGCTATTTCCTGTGGTATTTCTAGTTTGCAATATTGGTTTTATCTTATCTTTGACTACACTTGTTTCCCCACTACGGCTCCTGTCCCCTATGAGGTCATTTATATGTATTCCTTCCTGCGTATAATTCCCGACTACCTGGACAAAATCTCCAGCTTCACCATTACTGTCTCCCAGGACAGCACCTCCAGCTTCACCATTACTGTCTCCCAGGACAGCACCTCCAGCTTCACCATTACTGTCTCCCAGGACAGCACCTCCAGCTTCACCATTAATAATATAATCCCCAATAATCACCAATAATATAATCCTTACACTGGTAACCTTCAAGGACCATAACATTGTATCAATCGCATCTGCTAGAAAAATGACGGGATGGATAATGAGAACCTTCAAAACTAGGGAGGCCAAGCCCATGATGACACTCTTCAGGTCACTTGTTCTATCTAGGCTGGAATATTGCTGCACACTAACAGCACCTTTCAAGGCAGGTGAAATTGCTGACCTAGAAAATGTACAGAGAACCTTCACGGCGCGCATAAAGGAGATAAAACACCTCAGTTACTGGGAGCGCTTGAGGTTCCTAAACCTGTATTCCTTGGAACGCAGGCGGGAGAGATACATGATTATATACACCTGGAAAATCCTAGAGGGACTAGTACCGAACTTGCACACGAAAATCACTCTCTACGAAAGCAAAAGACTTGGCAGACGATGCAACATCCCCCCAATGAAAAGCAGGGGTGTCACTAGCACGTTAAGAGACCATACAATAAGTGTCAGGGGCCCGAGACTGTTCAACTGCCTCCCAGCATACATAAGGGGGATTACCAACAGACCACTGGCAGTCTTCAAACTGGCACTGGACAAGCACCTAAAGTCGGTTCCTGACCAGCCGGGCTGTGGCTCGTACGTTGGTTTGCGTGCAGCCAGCAGCAACAGCCTGGTTGATCAGGCTCTGATCCACCAGGAGGCCTGGTCACAGACCGGGCCGCGGGGGCGTTGACCCCCGGAACTCTCTTCAGGTAAACTCCAGGTACTGTGAAACAAGTTATCTCTCAGTGTGTGATAACAACAGGCGTTTCAAACCCACACTCCACAATTGACTTCATAGTGAAGTACACTTACTATCATACCGGGGCATTTCGGGCAGATACACTGTAGTACACTTCACTAGTCCCAAACTGAGTGCTACACACACTGTAGTACACTGCAACAACCCCACCTCTGCACCGTGAGCGCCACGCACACTGTAGTACACTGCAACAACCCCACCTCTGCACCATGAGCGCCACGCACACTGTAGTACACTGCAAACAACCCCACCTCTGCACCATGAGCGCCACGCACACTGTAGTACACTGCAACAACCCCACCTCTGCACCATGAGCGCCACGCACACTGTAGTACACTGCAACAACCCCACCTCTGCACCGTGAGCGCCACGCACACTGTAGTACACTGCAACAATCCCACCTCTGCACCATGAGCGCCACGCACACTGTAGTACTGCTGACGTACAAGGAAATCTTGGCAGTATATATAAAGTGTATTCGGCAACTGTACTCTAAGTCTTGCCACTGACTGGAAACGTCCTATTTTTTTTTTTATCTAATAATATTAAAAAACCCTGATTTCCACACGACACAATCTATCACTCTTACCTCATTGGGATTAATTCTTTTTTTGGCATAAGAGTATTCTCCCGCATTTACGGTGAATTCCGCCGAATAACCCAGATGAAACAATATTGGTTTGGGGGCAACGAAACCGGTAAGTTACCAAAACCCGGGCAAAGGGGCCCCCTTTTTGACCCCCAACACCTTATTTAAACTGCAAAAAAATTTCCCTTTTTTTGGGAAAAACCTTTTAAACCCCACCCAAAATTGTTAAAATGAAATACCCCCCCCTAATCATTAAGGGGCCAGGGGCAAGATACCTGAAGTAAAAGGAAAACTTAAAAGTAATTTCAAATTTAAAACCGGAAAACCCCCCAATTTTGCATGAGGAAACGCCTTTTTTTTTTTATAAAAAAAAAATTCCCCCTGGGGCCCCAAACCCCCTGTACAAGCAACAACCCCCCTCTGACCATAGGAGAACTTTTTTTTGGGGCCAAAAATTACCCTTGGCCAGTACGGGTAATTCCTGCCAATAACCCCCAGGATGGGGAAATAATAATGCAAAAACCCCAAAATTCCCCATAAACTAACAGACTCGACTTAAAAAATTTTTGGGGCCCTAAAAAACTTTTTGGAACCTTCTCAAACTAGCCCAAACAAAACTTCCTATAAACCTAAAAAAATTAAAACCCTAACCAAATAAATTTACTAAAAAATTTAAAATTTACCAAACTTTAAATTTTAAACTTTTTGGGGCAAAAATATTTTAAGTTGGGAGGGGAACCCCCGGGCCCAATCCCCAAGGAAACTAGGGTTTCCTCCCCCACCAAACAAATTAACTAAACACTTAAAGCCCTTAAAATTTTAAAATTTTTTATAAAAATAATTAAAACCCCCTAAAATAAAAATTTTTATAAATAAAATAAAAAACAAATTTCCTCCAAATTTACAAAATTCAACCTTCCCTTAAAATAGAACCTAAAAAACTTAACTTAAAAAGGAAAGGAAAAGTGTTCAGGCAAAATTTCCCCCCAAAACATTTTGCCCAAAAAACAAAAAAAAATTTTTAAGTGTTTTTATATTAATAAATTAAAAAATTAATATATATTTATTTTTTAAAAAAAAATTTCGGGGTTAAAAAAGGGTTTGGTGGGTTTTCAAGTTCCTTTTGGGTGGACAAAAAAATTTTTTACATAAAAAATTTAAAAAAAAAATATATTTTTAAAACCTAAGAAAAAAATTTTTAAAGGTTTTAATTTTAATTAATTTTTCCAATTAAAATTTTAATTTTTTGGTGGAAAAATAAATTGTGGTTGGGTTAAAAAGAACCAACCCAGGGAAAAAAAATATTTTTCCAAACCCTTGAAAAAAATTAACTTTTTAAATTTTAAAAGGAAAAATTTTGTGGTTTTTTTTTGTTTTTCAATAAACCCGGGGTTTTTTTTTTTCGGCACCCAAAATTAAATTTTGGTAACCAAAAACCACCCAGGGAATTATAATTTTATATTAAAAACCACCTTTTTTTCTTTTTTTCTAAATTTTTGGTTCTTTTTTTTTTTCTTTTCCATAAAAGGGAAAAAATTTTTCCTCCTAAACCTTTTGGTTTCCTTAAAGGGGCACTAAAATGCTTAATCAAATTAAACCCCTTCTCCTTTTTTAAAAAAAATAGAATTTTTTTTTTTTTAACTTTAAAAAGGGGAAGTTAAAAGTTTCCCTTGAAAGTTGGGGGGGGGTGGGGGGGGGGTTTTAGGGAATTGAAAAAATTGGTGTTGGTCAAGGCGAACCCCTAAAGGGGTAAATTTAAAAAAGGGGGGGAAAAAATTTAAAATGGGGTTAAATTGGGTTTTGGAGGGTAGGCGGAAAGAAAAAAAAAAAAACCAAAAAAAAAAAAAAACCCCCCCCCCCCCCAAAAACCCCCAAAACCCCCCCCCCCCAAAAAAAAAAAAAAAAAAAAAAGGGGGTGCAGTAATTTAAAAGATCATTAAATGGAAGGGGGAAAAAGAGAATATGAAATGTTTTAAATTTCAAAAATTATGGGGATTTAAAGTAAAGGTTGGATGCGGAATGGGTATAAAAAAAGCGTGTATGCACTGGAGAAAGAGGGGAATACAAGGAGAGAGAGTTTTTTGGGGAGATGTTAAGTAAATTTAAATAGGGCCCCTTTGAACCAAGTGAGAGAGAAATTGTGGAAAAGGGGACCTGAATGTTTAAAATAGGAAAAATTTTTTAGAAAGGGTGGGGGTATTTAAGGGTTTGGGGGGTGCCGGGGTTTGTAAATGATAAGGGGGGGCCCCTTTGATTGAAGGGGGGATAAAAAGGGGGTTTTAGTTATGGGGAAATACATTTTTAAAAAAAAGGGGGATAAATAAGTATACAAGATATGATGTGGGGAAAGGGCCCAGTATTTTGTTGGATTATGTTTTGGGGTAGTAAAAGACTGCTAAAGTAACTTCGGGTGTACATGTTTTTAAGGGGCCCACAGATTTTTTCAGTTTCATTTTCCCTTTTGGGAGTAACACTGGGGAGAAAAAGGGGTAGATGGGATAAAAGGGAGAATAAAAAGAAATCAGGGAAGAGAGGGGGTAAAGGGTTTTTATAAAAAAAAGGGAGGGGGCAGTTGGGTAAGATAAAAAAACAGCTTTTGGGGGATAGATGGGCAAATGAGGGGATGGGCAATGGGGGTCGAAGAGGAAAGGGGGTTTGGGTTTAAAAATGTAGTGTTAAAAGTGTTCAGCAGAATTTGTGGTTACGGGAAAAAGTGGGTGCGGGAGGGAAGGGGGAGCGATTGGTGGAATGATGATGTAAAAAGGGTAGTAAGGGAAAAAAAATTTTAGCATATGAGAAGTTTTTAAAAAGTAAAAGGATCCCAAAGGGGGAAAGAGTATATGGAGAAAAAGAGAGAGGTTAAGAGAGTGGTGAAGAAATTAAAAAGAGGCAAATGGAGGGGTGGGTGAGATGTTCCAACAAATTTTTTTTTTGGAAAATAAGAAAATTTTTTTGGGGGGGAGGGGAGATTTAAAAGTTAAGAAACCTGGGAGAAAAAATGGTTTTTCATTTAAAAAATGGGAAAAGGAGAGTTTTTTAAATGGAGGGTAGGGGTTTTTGGGAAGATGGGGGAAATTATTTTGGGGAAATTTGGGTTAAATGTTGATGAAAAAGGGGAAAAGCTGTAAAATTTCGTGAGGGGGAAAGGGAAGGAAAATAACATCTTGTGGGGGTGAGGAAGAGCCAGTTTTGAGTGGGGGGGGAAGTTCGTGAGGCCAGTAGGAAAAGGGAAAGGGGGAAAGGGGCACCGGGGGATTAAAGGGATAAAGATAGAAATTTTTAAAAGGCAGGTGGGGATAATTTTTTGAGGGGGTTTGGTGCAATTTTTTAAAATAAATGTATGGAAGGGGGTTAAGGTACCTAGGGTTGGAAAAAGGTGAAAGCTTATTTTTCCTTTGTAAAAAGGGGCAAAGGGGATAAAAGAGAGTGAAAAAAATTATGGGGGGATAAGTCTGTTGAGGTACCTTTTTAATGTGTATGGTAAAGTTATAATTGAAAGAATTAAGAGAAAAAGGGGAAAATAGGATACAGATGAACAAGGGCTTTGGGAAAAGGTAGGGGGGTGGGGCCCGGGTTTTTTACGTGAAACATATAAGTGAACAGTATTTAGTTTAAGGCAAAAAGGGTCTTTGGGGTTTTACGGATTTGGGAAAAGGCGTAAAAAGGGGTAGGGGGGCCCCAATGTGGGCAAATGTTGCAATTTGTATGGTGTAGGAGGTGGTTACTGAAAGCAGTAAAGATTTTTTAAAAACGAGGAAGGAGGTCAATTAAAAGTATGTGGGAAAAAGGGGGAAAAATTTTTCCCCAAAAGTAAAAGTAGGCCATAGAAAAGGGAAATGTGTGATTTTACCGGGGTTTTGTTTAATTTTTTATAGAGGGGGTTGAAAGAGAAGAAAATTTTCGGGGGATTGGCAAGGGGCGGGGATTTAAAAAGATAAAGTTTTCACACAAAAAGGGGGATTTGTCACGGGTGCTTTTTTTGCTGATGACACTTGCTCTTGGGAGATTCGAAAAAAATTGCGAGTTTGGGGTTTGGATGAATTTGGGTAGGGTGTGAAAAAAGGAAGAAAATTAAAGGGAATCCCGGGAAAAAGGTAAGGTTATGAGGATAAAAAAAAGTTTAGGTGTTTAAAGATTGAATTCAGTTTAGGATTGGAGTATGGGGAGGTGAACTATTCAATTTTTGGGAGTGGACGTGTCCGGAGGGGGTCTATGAAAGATGAGGTGAATCATAAAATTTGGGTGAAGGGAAAAAGATTTGAGGGGTTTCAAAAAAGGAGCTGGGGAAAAAGAATTTTTCCCTTGGGAGGCAAAGAGGGGAAAGGGTATGGAGTAAAAGTTTTACCAACAATTTTAATATGGGTGTAAAACGGGGGTGATTAATTTTTTGCAGCGGGAAAAATGGAGGCAGTGGAGATGTCATGTTGAGGGAAAATGTGTGGGGGTGAATATAAGGGCAGAGAATTCGTATTTTGGGAAGTTAGGGGGAAAGGTGGGGGGTTTTAACCAAAACTGTTGCCCAGAGGGCGAGGAAAGGGTTGTTGGGGTGGTTGGGAAACATGTAAAAAGAAAATGGGGGCGAAAAAAGAATGACTCAAGAGTG